GCCAATACCTCTTCACTCTGCTGGTCCTGCAGCAAACAGTGTGTAGGTAAAAAAAGAAATTTCAGGTTTGCATTCTTTGCAGCTCTACTGACTGATAGCAGATTAAATTTAAAGCTAGGTACATGCAAAACATTTGTGAGACAGATTCTTGGGGTCAATTGGACAGTTTCGGTGTGTTTCACTAAGTTTATGGTTCCATCTAGAAGATACACAGGTGTCATGTGGCTTACAACTRTTGGTTTATGTATAAGTGAAATGTCTGTGCACATGTGATTAGATGCCCCAGTGTCTACTATCCAGGTTCCTGATCTAAACAAATCCACAGTATTTAAGGCAAAATTAAGTTCAGGATTTAGAACAGTACCTGCAAAGTCTTCAAGATGTGCAAAATTCACCATATTCGCAGGTGTAGGCATCTTCCCTTTCATCAATTTTATAAGCTCCTGCTGAATTAAATTTGCAAGCCCTACATTCTAGTCAAGTCCTTTTCCTATACTAGTTTTAGTGTTCACTTCCAATGGTGTATCCACCAAGTTTGCTGCATATTTTCCTCCTATTTCATTTCTTGTCCCTGACTCCTTTCTCTTCTGGTCTCTGAGTTGCTTGTACCAGTCTGGATATCCAATAAGCTTGAAGCATGATTCCTTGAGATGACCATTAGTGTTGTAGTGAGTACAATATTGCTGCTTCTTCTCTTCTTTGGTCACTTCATTTCTCTTTGTATTTCCCTTGTTTCCTCCATCCTTCCTAGGCATCTGTGTTCTAGCTAGCATARCTGCATTCTCATTAGGTTCCACATAAGAAACTTGAACCTCCTTCTRCTTCTCAACCCTTGTTATCATTGAGTATGCTTTATTGACTGAGGGCAAGGGATCCATTAGTAAAATTTGACTTCTATTATGATCATAAATATCATTCAACCCCATTAGAAATTGCATTAGACGATTAAAAGATGTGAGATCTGCTACTGCCTTTGCAGATCCACATGTGCATTCAGGTATTGGCATTAAAACAGTCAACTCATCGCAAAGTTTCTTAAGTCTAGTATAATACTGTGTAACAGTCATCATTCCCTGAGTAATGGAACTAATTTCCCTCTGTATTTGGTAGAGAAGAGGTCCATTACTSTCTCCATACCTTTMCTCTAATTCACACCAAAGCTCTCTTGCAGTAGAAGTGTATAAGAAGGCTTCTACTAGGTCCTTTGATATTGAGTTTAAAATCCAGGAGGTTACCATACAGTTAACCCTATTCCATTGATCATAAATTGGTGAATCCTTTTCTGGTACCTTATAACTCCCATCTATGAGTCCCAACTTCATTTTAGCTCCTAGAGCAATTTTAAGAGATCTACTCCAGGCTAAAATGTTCTTACCAGTTAAAGGTGCAGTGACCAAAGCCATACCTGGATGGTGGAGTTGTGCAGGAAAAGTGGATCTCCATTATTCACTGTGTTTTGATCTTTCTTCAAGCTTGTTTCAACCTCTRTTTCATCTCCTTCGACTACAACTTCTTGTTCATTAGCCATTACTATAGCTGCAATAAGGTTGTTGTATTGCTTAATCAAGCAGAAAACCAAGATGAATCCTTCGTCTTCAAATCTTCAATACCTCTCCCTAGATCGTTGCTCTGATACCATGAGCAAAGATAGAATGAAGAGAAGGAAAAGCTTTGTAAAATATTATTCCAGAAGCTAAAGGTCCTTCTCTCTACATATATATACAAGCTGACAAAAAAGAATGATCTAGAAAAGAACAATCTCTCTAACAAATTTGCCACCTCACCCTATAAAATAAAAGAATAAAATAAAGCTAATAACTAGCTAAATGATGAGCTGTAATGAGCTGTGAGCATCACTGAATATGCAGAAAGAATATACAGGTATTGTACATTAGGCAGTGTGAGAATGGAATAAATTCTAGAGAATGCGAATAAGATGTTGGAGAGAATAATGACTTCAGAGACAAAACTAGTTCATAAAGATGTAAAATGCGAATCTCAAGGACTAAATGACAGGATGATACTAAGGTTAGAAAGCTTAGAAGATTACTTAAGTCTGAGCAGAAGGGCTGGAAGCCAAATTGGGATCATGGCTGAATGAATAACTGAATGAAATGAATCCCTTTTCACATCATGAACCCTATTATTTATAGATGAAGGGAGGGCTCACTTTGTGCAAGGGCAATAATTCTAGAATATTCCCTAGGTGGTAAATGACTTAAGAATTCCAAAATATTCTTCAAGTTGTTAAGGGCTCAAGTCCTTGTGTTGCCATTATGGAGACATGTGTCGTACTGCAATGTAGGGAAATGGCCTAATTCCCACACTCACAAGCTCTTACTGCATGTCATTTCGGGGGAGACCATATCTACCATACGAATAGCTTTTTAATTGTTTTGTCCCCTGAACTACGGTTTGCTTTGTTCTTTTTGTCCTATATCTTACGAAAGGCATCAGTTGTTTAGGGCTGTATCTTACTAATAGCTTTTTAATTGTCATGTATCTTAAGGATGAAGAGCATCTGGGACTAACTTCTGTTGAGGTAATCCACGGTCTTTTTTTTGGTAAGTGCTTTTAGCTTGATAATTGCAGAGCCTGTAGTTCTAATGTTGTAGCTAATCCATAGCAATACTTTGAAGGGAAAGCAGCATGTAGATGCCAAGGACATTTTGGGGAATGTGAATCTTTGGTCATATGATTACAAAAGGCCAAGGTATAATCCACCCATAATTAACTAATTCTAAATTCAATAATCTTTGATTAGGTGGCCATTATTCCCAAACTTTTTGTCCAATTTATAGTCTTGGAATATGGAAAAAATCGGGAGAAATTTCAACTCTATTATTTTGTAGATTAATGGCATAATTTGTTCTCATTTAAGGTAATTTCAAACTTTTCAAAAGGGGATTTAGAAAGTTAAATGCAAAAGGCCTTGGGAGAAAATTTTGATTAAAAAAATTGTAGGCCTCTTTGGAGTATAAGACAACTTTTTCTAATTTGAAATACATTCTAGTCTTAACAAAAAATGCAAAAGAAAAGGGGGAACATAAAGCAAAAATATCATAAAAAGATAAATAAGAATCGAGGGTCTCATATAGTATCAATTGAAATGTTGCATGCCCTATAAACATTGAAATTTGACCCTTAATAAATAGGTCCCATTTTGTAAAAGGGAAAAAATAGAAGAAAATAGCAAAAAAGAAAAAAAAGAAAGAAATCCAAGCCCAATTTGGTGAAGGCCACATAGACAAAGCTTAGGCTAGATTTCAGGCCCAAATCCTAGACCTAGTTCCAAGCCCAATTGGGCAAAGGTGACATGGGCCAAGTTTAGCCAAATCTTGGCCTAGTTCCAAGTTCAATTCCACCAAGGCCACATAGGCCAAGCTTAGGCCAAATTTCAAGCCCAAATCCTAGCTTAGTTCCAAGCCTAATTCAGAAAATGCTACATACACCAAGCTTAGGTCCAGTTTTAAGCCCAAATCCTAACCCAATTCCAAGCCTAATTCGACAAGGTTGTTGATGCTGCACAATCTGGCTGCTCCTAACTGGCGGTGGCTTAGCTTCCTGTAGACGACGGATGTGAAGAATCTACACAAAAAATCAGAGAACCCGAGGGTGTTTACCCAGTGAGGTCGCTCCGATGCTTAAGTCAGTTTATGCGAGCTGAATATAATCAAAGAGCAAGAGATCTAGTAAGCAGTAAAATGCGTGTACCTTTGGGCCCCGGGAGGGAGTCCTTTATATAATGGAGTCCTCGCAGGCTTTACGGAGTAGTTCCGTGATCTTTGCCATGATAGAGTCTGTTTCCGTGTTATCTGGAGATAACGTTATCAGTTGATAAGGCTAATCACTTCCACCCGAATCGAACGGGGAGATAATGCTTAGTTGTTGCGAAACGTGATCTCGCGGAATTCGGGAACTATTAGAGTGATTATCGGGATAATGTTGCGGTCAGATCGATATACCCGAACTGGTTTCTACCTCGAACTGATATTCTCGAGCTAAGGGTCGTACACCCCAAACTGAATTATGAATTGATGCTGCGACCTAGTACCGAGGTGCCCTTAGCTCGGGATGAGTACCGAGGTGCTCTTAGCTCGAGATGATTTCAGCTCGAAGGATCCCTAGCTCGGGGTAGTGGAGTATTACTTTGTAGCGAGCTGGCTATGCCGAGTTGTCACCCATGTTGAGTCACGTCCACGTGTCCCCTTATTACGAGGTCGGGCCAAATCACCCTCTATCAATTGCCCCCACTCCCCGAGCCAGGGGTCCAGACCTGGTGTGGGGAGTTCACGACATGACGGGTGGATTTGGCTTGAAGTCTAGGCCGTCCAGTCAGATAGTTCGTCGATCGGATCAGTTCGCTGCTCGGCTCAATCAAGGATAACCCGGGTTGCGTACGGTTTACACGCGGATGTCACGCGATTATAAATTTCGCGGACACCAAAAAATGCGCTAAATTGATTTCAACCTCGGGGGTCGTGCAACCGGTTTTCTTGAGAGCCGTTGGATCGCCTTGATCTTGATCGTAGATTCCCGGACATAGTGGCTATAAATAGGGGGACCCAAGACATTTTCCCTCGCCATAAGTTCACTAGCTTTCGCTCAGAGATCGTGCTTAGACTCTTTAGCTCGGGTTTCCCAGTTTTCCATTTTCTCAGCTCGGTCATTTTTCTGGGTGAGTCTCCCCTAGCTTTTCTTTTTCAATTTAGTTCAGTTCGTAGTTATGTCGCAGTTTAGTTTTGATAGTCTTTTAGATGAGCCCGAGGAAGGTACCTCGGCTCAGGTCAGTCCTCCCGAGATGGAGTCATCCTGGGAGGCGCGAGAGGCCATGAATAATCCGACATCTACTTCTCATCGAGGTCAGGCGCCGGATGGGTTCGGTCCCTCGATGCTGACTGTTGATAGACTTAGGGCTTTAATAGGTCAATACCACCTCCCAGATGAGTACACCTACAGTCTCCCCGTAATTAATTTCCCTTGGGAACCCGATCATAATGAGATCGTAATTTTCAAAGAGCAACTCGTGGTTGGTCTTCGCTTACCTTTGCACCCCTTGGTCATAGAGGTCCTAAAGTTCTTCAACATCACCATAGACCAATTACACCCAAACTCAATTCGAAATGTAGTAGGGACGATCTCTCTTTTTTACGAGTATTGTCTACCTCTCGACCTCGAGATTTTCTCATCTATCTTGTCCATCAAGAAGAACTCTTCTTGTGTCCTTCCCAAGCATAGGCGAACCTATTATTTGTCTCCTCGCCCGGGCTATAAGCTTTTACACGAACTACCCAATAGGATCCTGGCCTGGAAGCGAAGTTATTTCGTAGTTCGTAATCCCGCAGGGTGGTCTTTTCCTACCCATCGAAGGGCTACCATTCAGGACTCCGGTTTTAGGCTGGACCTGAAGACAAGGGAGACGCTCCATTCTTGGGCGGAGCTTGGCTTCCACTGTAAGGACTACCTTGCCGAAGATAAGATCATGCAGGTTGTCTTGAGTCCTGGTAGGTCGTCTTGGTTTAAAGTTAATCTTATTTTTGATAGTTGGTATTTTATTCTTGTCGACGTTGCTAACGCCATGTTCTGTTGCAACTCCCCTGAATCTCAGCGCGGACAAGATTCTTGGGCGGATGAAAGGGAAGAAGAAGAAGAAGCGAGCTACTAAAAGAGCTTGTACTGAGTCTCCAGAGCCCGCCATCCCTAAGCCCGAACAGCCTTACAGCGCGCCTCCAGTGATTGACTTGGAGTCGGAGAAGGTCCCTCCTTGTATGCCCGAGACATCTTTGGGGCCTACCCCTGCGATGACTGTTGCTTCTTCGGGAAGCGGAGATGCAGTTCAGAGTATCCTAACTCCGCAATGCAGCCTCCAAAAGGGCAAAGGGGCTATGTATTCTAAGGAAGTTGCGAGTTGGGCTGAACTAACGCCTGCTCAGCTCGGGGCTCGGGCAGCTACCCCTGCATGGTGGTAAGTCTTGTTCTACTTTGATTTTTGTACTTGTAACTTTGCTGGTACTAATTTATACTCTTGGTAGGTGAACTCCGCCGTGCACGCCTTGACTTACGAGTCCGAGCAACACTTGAAATGGGCTCTAGTTGCTAAGAATTCGTCTCGTGAGGCTCATATCGAGCTGAATCTAGCTCGCGACAAGATCATTCAACTGGAGGACCGTGCACGAGCTCAGGAAGAGCTAATCGCTTCGTTGATGTCAGAGAAGACGGATCTGAAGCGCCAGGTGGAGAACCTTGAGGCCGACGTCAAGGAGCAAACTGGGATCCTTCTCAAGTCCATGGAGGAAACCAAAATTAAGGTCATCGAGGATTATAAGAGCTCGGAGGAGTTCGAGGGAGAGCTAATCGAAGCCGGATCGGAGGGCTACCGTAAAGGCTTCAAGCTCAGTAGGTG